GGAATAGTCCACAATGGACTATTTTGCATTCCCACCAGCAGTGGATAAGGGTTCCAATTTCTCCACATCCTCGCCAACATTTATTATTTTCCATTTTTTGTTTGGTTTTGCTTTTATCTTAGCCATGCATTGTTGTTGGGTGTCATTGAGTTCCGATTCATTGTTACCCTTTGTGCAATAGAACGAAACACTGCCCTGTCCTCACAATTCTTATGTTTGGGCCCATTGCTGCTGCCACTGTGCTAACCCACCTTGTTGGGGGTCTTCCTCTTTTTCTCTGACCCTCCACTTTACCAGACATGAAGTCCTTCTCCAGGGACTGGTCCCTTCTGATAACATGTCTGAAGTTCAAGAGACAAAGTCTCAGCATCCTGGCTTTTAAGAAGCATTCTGACTGTATCTCCATTTGTTTTTCTGGCAGTCCATGGTACTTTTAATGTTCTCTCACACCATAATTCAACTGTACCGGTTCTTGTACTGTCTGTTTGATGCATTGCCCAACTTTGACAGGCTCCTAGTGGGACTGAAATGGTTTCTCATTGAGGTTTGGATTGCATCTCTGACCACCAGTCACGTGAAAGCATCTCTTCATTTGTTTGGTGGCCACTTGCATGTCCTCTTTGGTGAAATATCTATTCAAATCCTTTGTGCATTTTACTATAGGATTCTTTGTCTTTTTATTTTTAAGTTGTCAAAGTTTATGTTTTTGGTTTTTAGGTTCTAAAAGTAAAATTAAAATTGCCTTTGTTGTTGTTAGGTGCCGTCGAGTTGGTTCTGACTCACAGCGTCCCTGTATAGCATTTCCAAGGAGCGGCTGGTGGGTTTGAACCTCTGATCTTGTGATTCAAACTGACCTTGCAGCCGCAGTAGTTCTACACCAATGTATATTCCCCCAAAGACTTGAAAGCAGAGACTCAAAATGACTTGTACACCAATGTTCATAATAGCTGAAAGGTGGGAACAATCTATATGCCCACCACAAGATGAATGGATAATCAAAATGTGGAACACAGTACAATGGAATACTATTCAGCCAGTCGGAGAAATGAAATCTTGAAACATGCTACAGCATGGGTGGAACTTGACATCTCTCTGCATGAGAGAAGCCAATCACAAAAGGATAAATATTGTATGGCCAAATTTATATGACCAAGAAACAAAACAAGAAAAGGCAGATATATAGAGATTAAGCTTTATTAACCATCGGGAGTAGGAAGGAGCTGTTAAAGGAGAGTTAATGATGATAGAAGAATCCTGGCTGATTGTTATAATTCATGCTAGTAAGCTGTACATCTGTAAGAAGTGGAATCATCAAAAGTTGTGTGATAGATTTATTTACAACAACAATGAAAAGAAAGTGCCTGCTGAGGCTGCGTATTACAATCAAACACCTCATAGAATTTGGTTCCTTGGTTTGGAGGTTTGAGGTCAGAGTTTCATGTTGTTGTTAATGGCATCGATTTGGTTCCAACTCATAGCGACCCTGTATAGAGTTTCCAAGGAGCGGCTGATGAGTTTGAGGCACCGACATTGTGGTTCAAACCGACCTTGTAGTCCAGTGTAGCTCCTAGCACCACACCAGGATTCTTTGGTTTCATAGGACATACCAATTATTTAGTGTAATAACGTGTTTAATATTTCTGCGATACCTCCTAGCTTGTTGCATTGTGCCTGGAGTTTTAAAAGTTTGCAAGAGATCATTCAGGGCACAAATGTTATCTTATGCATCTGAAGCAACAAAGAAAGAATGTGAGACAGGAATAAGAGGAAGGTAAGGGAGGTGTAGCTAATCGCTTCTGTGGATAACTGCTTTCTTTGCCATAAAACAAGAACTGGCAGGTGTCTGGCTATCATTACTTAATGTTTTGATCAAAGATTCCATGGTAGAATTCTGATGGAAAGGGGGAAAATGCAGAACAGAACTTCAAATTCTCATGCACTTTGTCCTGTCTTTCTGGAACCATGGAGCCTGAATGAAGCCCTGAAACTATTGCCTTAGATAATATTAAACCTTGAACCCAAAATCTCATCTTAAAACTAAACAAGAATTTAGCTTAATTAGTAAAAAACCAGGTCTGCCTTGAACATAATATTATGCTCTTTTAAGAACAATCTCTATAAGGTCAAACTGAAAACAGCAACTTTGAGGATTAGATAGGAAGCTTAGGGGCAGTGCGTTTATACTGCTGAGGGAACAGCTCAGAAAAGAAGGGTGAGAATCCTCACACGCTAGAAGACTGTATTGAATGGCACTGACTTATGCATGCAGAACTGTGAATCGGTGTGCTTTGCTGTGTATATTGTCAACAACATAAAAATAAACAAATAAACTCCCATTGAAATATATAAAGTAAGTGGAAATTAAAATATAACATTAAATAGAAAACAGAACTGTGTTAAAGTATATAAAATGCAAACTTAAGTACAGAATTTAAATAAAGAGAAAATAAGTATAATAAAATAAATGTCATGATTATAATATTGAATTAAACACAATTATACAAAAGTGATAAAAATAAGTAAAACAAAGTTAAATATATACAACAAAAATTAATTTCAATTAAAAGATAGTTAAATATGTAATAAAATCAACAAGGTAAATAAAGTATAAAATTAATTAAATATATAACTAAGAATGTTGTGGTTATGTGCCATGGAGTTGGTTCTGTACAGGGTTTCCAAGGCTGTAAATCTTTATAGGAGCAGAAAGCCTCCTCTTTCTTCCGAGGAACAGCTGGTAGTTTTGAACTGATGACCCTGAGGTTAGCAGCCCAATTCGTAACCACTATGTTACCAGAGCTCCTTATAACAAAGAATAAGTATAATTAAATAATCATACTATAAAATGAAATAAAAGAAAATATAAAGTGAAATAAAAGTAAGTGAAAAATTTAAGTATAAAAAGAAAATGTATAAAATAAAATTTAAGTAAAATTAAAATAAGTAACAAAATTAAATATTAAATTAAGTGAAATTAAATTGACAGTAAAATCATTTGCTGAATAAGCGCCATTCCCAGAGTGGGGGAGGGGCTTCCCTGTAGGTCTGTAGGATGCTGTGCCCAGACCTGGTCGGGTAGGACCCTGGAGAATCCTGTGGGAAATTCGCTTTAAATCACCTCAGTGCAGACGTCACACGTGTTTGTGCATGCGCTATGTGAGCACGTGTGTGTATGCACGCACCAGTGTATGAGTTTGCATGTGTGTTCGTGCATGAACAGGACACGTGTGCCCGCATGTACTAAAGGTGTGCATTTGTACCGTGTATGCACACGTGTTCCGTGTATGTGTATAAACTCCCTTTCCTGGGCAACCTCTCCATAATGGAACTGGAATTCCTGGCCCGAGGGCCTCCCCTTATCAGAATGCGAGCGAGGCCCAGCCACGGGTCCGCACCAGCGCCAGTCCAAATGGGCAGAGCGCATGGATCATGAGACGCTCATGTGTCTGTGCCGTGCATAAGGCCTGGCCAACAAGTGATCAGACCCACCCCCCCTGGACTGAACAGGGAGACCGTGACCCAGTCTGTGATCTGCGTTCCCATTAGATAGCGCCCTGGAACCCCCACTTCCATGCTGGCAGGTCAGCATCTTGTGCTGTACGTGCAGTGGAAGCTGCCTGGACTGTGCACAAGGAGAAAGGCCCCCTCCCGGCAGGTTTGTCCAGGGCGAGGCCGCGGAGATCCCTCCCTCAGCACAGACACTGCTCATGGGCCCCCAGACAGCGCGGGGCGCGTGCTGCGGGGTCAGTGGCCGGCAGGAAATTCTCACCGGCGGTGCCGGCACTGGGGATGGGGGCAGGCCAGCTTCGCCGTATCACCGGCCTGCCTCCCCGCACCCATCCGAGTCTAGCGGATATAGAGCCCGGCCTCAGCCGCCTGCGCTCGCTGCTGTGGACAGGTCCCGTTCCGCCAGGCCCTGCCCAGTCCCTGTATCTCCCAATCCCTGTCACCACCCCCGCCCGGGGGCCTGTCACCCCTAGATCCTGCCAGATCTCCGCACTTGGGTACCGGTGCCCGGCGCCTTCGTCCCCATGGAGCAGCTGCTGCGAACGGAGCTGCGGACGCAGACCCTGCGAGCCTTCGGGAGTCCAGGTGCCGGCGGCATCAGCGAGGGCCGCGCCTATGACACAGACCAGGGCCCGGTGTTCGTCAAGGTCAACCGCAGACCGCAGGTGCGTCCCGCGGGTCCTGGGCTGCGGGGCTGGGGGTTGGGTGGTGCGTGCTGGGTGGGGCCAGGATGCCCCCCCCCCCCCCGCGGTGTCAGGTTAGCTGTGACCCAGGGTCAGCTGTCAGCTGCAGAGTCAGGTGCGTCTACATTGGGGGCCACAGGGTTTTTGATAAGGAATTTACTTTTTCTTGCTTGTTTACTTGTTTTTGTTTGTTTACTTGTTGCATTAACGTTCTCTGCTCTATGTATGTCATGAGGCAGGCCTGGGCTCTGTCTGGAGTCTGGGCCCCAGCTGTTCCCTCTACCCTGGCCACAGCCTCTCCACAGGTGGGGAAGCTCAGAGAAGGATCCCAGTAGCCCCCTAACGGTCCCCCACCCAAGGCTGCTCTGCTAGACCTGTTTTCCACCACCTACTTACTAGATTTCTTTATTAATTGAATAAAAGAGGGACCTTTCACAGTGGAGAAAGCTGACCATTGCTGCTGGTACCCCCGCCCCTCCATCACCCCTCAGAAGGCTGGCAGAGATGCAGAGAGGGCTGAGGTTTACAGGGGCTCCTGGCAGCTGAGGGAGGCCACCCATTCTGTGTGTGTCTTCAGTGCTTCCTCAGAGGAATCCAGAGGGACCGGAGATCCAGTACTGGCTGGACCTTTTACATGCCCATGTTCCCATCACATCCAATGTTGTTGTTAAGTATTGTCAAGTCAGTTCTGACTCATGACGACCCTGTGTAGGGTTTTCAAGGAGTAGCGGCTTGTGGGTTTGAACTGCAGACCTTGTGGTAAGTACAGTGCCACACGAGGACATCCAGCACGGAGCCCCCAGATTCCCACCCGCTGTGGATGTGGTGCCCCTGAATTACTACCTGCTGTGGAGTGAGTTCACTTTCCTCCTCCAGTTGTCTGGCTGTGAGCCCCTTCACATCCCAAAGTCACCCAGTTCAAGGACTCTGCACCAGCCCTCCTTTCCCTTCCTCTCTTGTTAGGGTGGTCCAGTTCCCCGGCCTACATGTCCCTACCCCTCAGACCTCCAAACAGCGGACACTGTTCCTTCTGCGTCCTGGTCCCTGCAGCTACCCTACAAGCTTGCCTGCCCAGCCCACCCAGCACTACACCACTCAGTCCAGATCACCCCGAGGCCTCGGGCCAGGCTGGAGACTGGGTTCTCTTCCCCAGGTCTCTCTGGGCCTCAGTTTTCCCATCTGTACAATGGCCAAGCTGACTTTGTGGCTCTGTGCTGTCTGGATGAGTGCCAGTGTGCACGTTTGTGCCCCTGATAAGCACGTGTGTCCTGGAGTTGTTGATACGGGTGTACTGCCCCACCCTGTTGATAGGAGAGGCCTGGGGGTATCTGCTTCTCCGTTCCCTTCCTCCCCAGGGTGGGGGTCCCCTCATGTCTCATCTCCAGGCAGACCCTCAGAGAGAGGACCCCACCCCAACACGGCAACAAGGGAGGTGCTCTGGTAACTGGCTGGAAGTCTGTCCATTTTGGTCTTCAAGGGGCCGGCTTATGGGGGAAGCTGGTTGACCCCTTCCAGAAGAGGCCACCAAGACCAGGGGCTAATTGCTGTCCACAGTCACATGGCAGGTCAGCGCAGGCCTGGTGGACACTGCAGTCCACTCATGTGGACACTCTTTTGTGCTAGCTGATGGGGAGGGACATGGCATGGGGGTAGGGGAGACAGGACAGACAGAGAGGAGGCAGGAGAGAGAAAGGGGGCCAAGAGGGAGAGAGAATGAGAGAAGACAGGAGAAAAAGTGTGAAACAGAGAGGAGGGAGGGAGGGAAGGTGAGAGGGAAGATCACTCTGATTGGTTGGGATCTGAACTGCATCTCACCTGGGAAAAGCACAACTCTGTCGGGAGCCCCAGACTCACCCTGGAGCCTGGAGCCTCTTCCTGTCTGAAAGGCCTCTGTCCCCTCCCCCGCTGGGTTTTAGAAATGGAAGGTTCTGGGCTTTGGGAGCTGACTCGAGTGTCTGATGCAGGCTCGGCAGATGTTTGAGGGGGAGAAGGCCAGCCTGGAGGCCCTCCGGAGCACAGGCCTGGTGCGGGTACCTCAGCCAATCAAGGTCATCGACCTGCCAGGAGGTGGGGCCGCATTCGCGATGGAGTACCTGAAGATGAGGAGCTTGAGCAGGTGTGTGCGTGTATCTGTGCATGCATGCGTATGTGCGCACACATTTACAGGCATGTGTACACATGTGCACACGTGTGAGTGTGTGTTTGCTCCAGCAGCTGCTCCGTGACCAGCACCAGGGCTGAGCTTCTCACCTTGCTGTTCCCCATGGCTGTAAGGCATTGCTTTCTGGTGTCGCACTGTTAGTTTTCCTTTTCATGCAGCTGCTATAAAATGAGCACATCAGATATCATCACCCGCTGCGTATTTAAAGCACACTAATGGCAGCTCCGTCTGGGCAGCATTAGATTTGAGTTTATTAATTACCTGGAGTCCTCTGTACATTTTTTTCTAGTCATAAAAGTCATATGCATTTGTTATATAAAAAGTGGGAAATACAAGCTTGTTGCATGGACAGTTTCTCCTAGAAGGACCAGCACAAAACTGACCGCTATGAAGTGGAGGTTGGAGATGGCCCGAGTGTCCAGCATTTCCACACTGCTGAAGCTCTCCATCATCTCTGACATCAACTCCTCCTTCTGCCTTAGGGTTCTGTAATTCACTGTAACTTCTCACAGAACACACAAGCTACTAAGGAAACGGCTCATATGGTTGTCGAGGCTGACAAGTTTCAGATCTGTGGGTCAGGTACCAGTCTGGAGGATTCTCCTGTCTCAAATGGTTTCAGGGGCTGAGGAACCCAAATTGGCAGGTCAGATGACAGGCTGCTGGCTCAAGATCCAAGATGAGACTAACGAGGCAGGTGCACAGTCCAGCAAGAGAGGAAGAGAGAGAACTTTGCCAGACCACTCTTGTATGTTGGGGTGCAGATGAGACCCTCAAGGAAACTAAGGGTGGTGCCCTGAGTGCCACCCTCCAGTAAGGCTGTGACTGCTTCATTAACATAATGGACAACTCTCACTCCTAATCCCAGGCACAGAGGCTAGGGTCTTCCATACGTCACACACAGGAGGGCTGTGCCTAGGAGGAGCATGTTAAGTAGTTCACTGCACTGCCCTTGTCTGAGGAAGACATAAAAGCAGGTAAGGGTCCACAGACAGTTTGGTATACGATTATCATCCCAGCCTTTTTCTCAATACATTCATTGTTGTTCCCAAAATTGGGAACTGAGTTTTTTCACTCATCATTATTTTCTGGGCATTCTCTCAATTCCCAGTAACTTCCTAAGACTGTTGAAGCCCACCAGCCAGTTAGTGGTTTTATACCATTTTATTTTTCAGAAAGGCTAATAACCAGGAAAAACTTGGAGAGTAGTTAAAACAAATGTATTTTTTTGGAGCCCCAGGTGCTGGGCTAAGCTGAGGGAAGAAGGAATTAGTCATTCACACATTTATTTACTGAGGGAAGAAGGACTCAGTCAGTCACACATTTATTTACTGAGGGAAGAAGGACTCAGT